GATTATTATCTCACCATTTGCGCTTCCATTTTATTCATTTTCTCTGTGGCGTCTACAAGACGTTCAGTCATCGTCATCAAGGCTTCGTCAAACCTCGCTCTCTCTGCTTGCAGCTCGTCGGCCTGTACAAAGAATCAAAAATTATTCACGAATTAATAACTTGATCGGTCAACCGTTTAGTGATCCTAGACTAACGATAGCATGATAATAATGATTATGATCGGAGAACCAATACTGTAAATACTTACCAAACTTAAGATCCGACTTTCAAGGTCTTGATTTTGTTGCAAGGCATCCTCGTAGACCTCTCTCAGTCTGTGGATAGAGAAACACATCGTTTACTATCATCAGAAAATTCGTGGCTACCAACATTACCATCGCCATTATCAAAAGCATCATTATAATTGTAATCATCTGTYAACCATCTTTGGCATCAACATCATCACCTGCCTAACATGTCCATTTTCTTGCCAGTCGTTTGGAATATAACATGATGTTTATCTCTCAGCCATCGCCATTACTATCACTACCATCACTACCATTACATCATCATCTATCAACTTTGCCTTTGCCATCTTTTATGACAAACAGTAAACCTACATCGTCAATGCTATATATGGTCAGAAGCAATTATAAGAGGCATTATCACCATCACAGCCGTTACCATGAAAATACTAAAATCGTTGTATTGCCATCAACATCTATTTACCGTTTGTTTTGTTCCACGTACGACTCGATGCTTTCATCTCTTTTCTCCTCGTCTTCTTTTCTCGATCGGTGTAAATTTGACAACTCGATTTCCAATTCCTGATTTCGTTGCTCGCTGTTATTGAGCTTTCTACAAAGCTTTGCTATTTCTTCCCTTAATATAATGCATTCCTCGCTGCGTGAAAAAAAATATCAWTAAAATCTTWTAAGCTAAAGCTTGTAAACTCATCAATACAAAGTGATTGATAAAAAAATGTTTTACCTTGATTTGCACTTTGAACAATCGCATCCACATTCCTGCAAAAGAGAAAAATATTCGCGTGGTTTACTGTGTTGATTTCGAAAGCAATCCAACAAACTAGAAATATAACACTACTTTTCATCGCTAATACAGTAGGGTGAAGTAGGGTACATAAGGAGTGACTCGGTCTTAAAACAGTTTTCTTCACAATCATGCAACTCCATAAAAAGACCAAAAACTGGATTTTAATGAATCGATTCAGAAAAAATGAATCCAAAGCTGCTTAGGGTGAGTTTTCTCTATATTTATTTCACGATTTGATATTTCTTTTATGTATTTGTAACTCCCAGTTAGTTTATTTATTTGTATGTATACCTCTCGCCCGAGAAGTCATCGTTSGAATCTAACGCAGGCTTAGAGTCAACGATAGACCGATTGAAATTTTGAAAGCTTTTTAATTTTTCATTGCTCTCACTTCGATTGTCACAAGTCAGTTACAGGGAGAATAGGTCAGAAGGTAAAAAGTAAGCCGTTCAAGGGAGTGACTCACTTCAGGACGCTTTCCGCTATTTTTATCTCTCTGTGTGACTTTAGCACTATGGTCACATGATGTGGAGGGTTTTTTTTGTCTTTCAAATTTTTTCAATCAGTGTGTTGTCTTGCTTATTTTCAATATCTTCTGAGGAGCGTTTGTTAGTGAGCTTGCTAGTTTGCCATGTCAATGAGTTCGTTCACATCACTTTYCACTTCGTTTCGTGTATTCTTTTTTTAGCGTCAAAAATACTTGTTGACGTGATATCGTAACTGATAGTTCAGTTCTCAGTGCCGTTAGTCCGGAAATGCTCCTACATCATATGGAACGCATAACAGAAATTTCGTTTTACGCTTTTACGTTTTTAGATATATAGGTCAGATATACCCCATGCCGTTAAAATATCAGAATTGGAAATATTCCACAACACATGATAGCCATTCAAATTTGCCWGGCCTTACAYGCGCACGGAWGGTTAGTTWTTCGACATGTGTGAGGAACAAGTAGAATGACATAAACAGTTTTAACAAGTGAATCTAGAAGGATTGTTTCATCGAAAGAATCGTTGTGAGAATAGCTGTATTTTATTTCTGTGTGGATCATTTATACACCTTCACGAAAGACAAAAAAWTAATTATAGCATCCCCCTCCCCTCCCCCACCCCAAATTTTAGCTAACGTTCCACACTTCAAAAAGTGTCTTCTCCTTTATGCTCGCGCCGCTAGTTAAAACCGGCAAAGGACAAGTGGATTATCGACTGATCATATAATACTGCGATGTTGGTCTGATCATGACTTTTTCCCGGCTAAGTAAATTAGCTTTTCAAAATGCCTTCTCTGGACCTTTTGCCCTAAGAAATAACTGCACACGAAGATCGAACTTTCTCGTAGTTCCTAATTTGGTCAAAATGGAATAAGAATTCAAACACACTAACAGTGTATATATCATGGGGTATTTGAAGTATACTCATGTAAATACTAACTTTAACAGTTAAAAAGTCAATTTCTAATTTWAATTTTTCGTTTTGAAAATGTTGTAGTGCGTGTTTGGCGTGGTGCGTTTTGCAACTTTTCATGCACTGGAATCTGCTTAGCGCGCAAATCCTCGAGATAGAGCCACTGTAGTCCTGGCTTTAATACTATACGTTTTCGTGTTTTGTTTTATTCCTTTAACTACTTGAGGACTGATGAGGACAGAGAACAGGACAGATACGCAAGGGTACCTGATATCAGGTAGCAGTTTATAGAACTTACAGTTATGCCTAGTTATAAGTTCTATCACGAATCTTACCGTGCATTTTTCTTCCATCGTGATAACACTGCGAATTACAGCAATTTGTTGAATAGATTGAAATCTAAAAAGAAATTGTACATTAGTGACATTAGTACATTAAATAGTGATAATACATTCTCCCTGATTTAGTTACATCACTGACGTATATATAATTTTTGGGAGATATTTATAGCATAGGGTTAATACCATAACCACATTGATGATAGTTTACTCTGTCGGCAACAAGGACCTCCTCACTGCTCGTTCGAAGGATCTGGTCGGATTAATTGGATAACAAAATAAAATGGTCGTTGTAAAGCGGCGATTAACTATCAATCATGATAAATATCCTGGCATTCGTTAAACTATCCGGTTGTTTTCGTACGAAAACTAGAAATACGGCAGTTTCATAGAATTGTACTTTCTTCTTGCTTATAAAATATCATGTCTAATCAATATCARAAGWAGAAAWACCTAAAAAAAAAGAATAAAACYGKAATTATCCACARAKCAAAAACCAAACAAAAAAGCGYGACGTCATACATAAAAAGGCGCGAAAAGAAAGCRCGGGAGCGCGCGTGCGTCTGTTTATCTGARSC